TATATTCAAGAACTACCAGGCCTAAAAGTGTCAGTTTCTGTGTAAAAAATCTAGAGTTTTTTATGTTTACAATGAGAAAGTTTAGAAATTTAGAATTTGAATTTAAAAACACTGAAAAATTTGGGGGAATCAATAATAGAAGTGAAAGGATATCTAAATACATTGATATTGAAAAATCAATTAAAGATAAAGAAGATTTTTCACAGGGGGTAGAAATGAGTTTTAATCCAGATATATTAAACTCAATAAAAACATCACTAATCAATTCAGAAATTTATAAATCAAAAGAAAAGTTACCTCATAAAATATTCAATGCTTTACTATTTAAACCATTAAATTACAAGGATTTAACTGAAATAATTGGAAATGATATCAATTTAGAAAATTCTCTCAAAAGTTTAATTTCTGCCGGAATTATAAAAAAGAAGGAAGGAATGTTTAAAGTTAATAATTATTTGAAATAAAATTTATTTATTTATAAATATTACTCAAATAGACTTAATAACTCATATATTGACGTTTTAATAAAAATTTATTTATATCAACTAAATAAACATGTTTCATAAACTAATTAGAATTATTTTAAATATACTTAATTCAGATATCAAATGTGATAAAATTAGAACTACAAATTGTAATAAACTGGGTGAAAATGAAGTTAATAATGAAATATGTTTTAAATCACAAAGAAGATTGTTTTTTTGAATATTTTATTGCGCAAAAACCTTCTAAAAAATTTATTGAACCAATAAATAATCTTGTTATTGATAAAATAAATGAATTAGAAGATCATGTTAATAAAAGAGGTTGTTTAAGACTTAATGAAATAAAAAAAGTTACTGATGATATTAAATATCAATGTGATAAGACTACAGATGATGGATATATTATAATTGATAATGAAATTTACATCAAAATGGTTAAAAATTTTTTAAAATCTATATTTTGGTAATAAAATACTTTTATAATTTATTTGACAGAATAAAAGTAAATTAATAAAACATTATCTTGCTTGTTTAATTTGATGTTTCTTTAAGAAATTAAACAAGTTTAACATTATTAATTTTTTATAAAAATTTAATTAAAAAATTTTTATAAATTTTTCAAATGGAAAAATCAGAATTAAAAGAGTATTTTATAAAGAAAAACGATTTACTTTTAAAATTAGATATTCAATCAATAGAAATAGCTGGTTCTATACTTTTACAAAAGACTATAGAGATTGAGATAAGTGAATTTACTATTTCTGTTTTAGAGTTTTTTACTAAATTTAATGAATCATCATATAAAATACAAAATAACAGAGTTTTATTCAAACCAGGACCATTAAACAAAACAAATAGCAAAGTTATTTTGAACAATGATTTCTTAATTCCAATACTTAGAGTATTGTTATTAATTGGTCATGCTTTTAAAAATAATTTAAATGTGAGAATAGAAAATGTGATTACAAATGATCTTGAATCAATTGACATGTATCAAACAGCATTCTGGTTACTATTTAAAAACTTTAACATTCAGGGATATAACTTACAGATAATAAGAAGAGCTTTTTATAAAAATGATATAAATGAAGTTAATGGAGGAATAATCAATCTAAGAATTAAAAAACATTCTACTGAAATAGAAAGTAAAAAATATGAATCTAAAACTGTATTAAACAAAATAAGAACTATATTAGTATCCAGTAGACTTAATTCAGAATTTATTAAAAGAATGACTGATGTTGTTTTACCATCAATGAGACAGTTATCAAAAAATGCTAAAGTCTTTTCTCAGTGCTGTAATAAATTAGATTCAGGTTTATGTCCTGGATATGAATGTAATGTTTATTGTGAATCAAGGGAAGGGGTTTTTTATGAAACACTTAACTATAATTCAGTTAAAAATTTTTATAAAAGTATAAATTATACTCCAGAAAATATAGCAAACTTTTCATTTTTAAATATGATGAATAGTGCATCAAAACAATATATCTTTGATAGAAAATTATACTTTGCATATTTATTTTATATGGGGTTAGGTAGTGGTTTAAGTACGTTTATACTTAGAGAAATTGATGAAGATTTAAATGAATTAGTGAAAGTATTAGAAAAATCTTTAGGATGTAAAATAATTATTAAACAGGACAGACCCAACTATAAAATAAATATCATAGGAATAGGATATTTAAATAAAAGTAATATTTAAAGTAAATTTAAGCTTTATTTATGTTATTAGAAAAATATTTTACTTGAATTGATTTAGAAATATCAAATCCAATATAACCTTTTAACAAAACAAATACTTTTATACTAGTTAAGCCTAATCTATGAGAATTAACAGGGAATTTAACAATAGAAGGAATAGTATTAAATTCAAATGACTCATTTTGAATCTGATTGTTAATTGTATAAAAAACTTTAAATCCGTTTTTAATTTCTAAATATGGAGCATGAACATATTCACTAATATCAACTTTATTTGTGTTTATAACATTAAATGCTACATAACAATTAGAATTAGCATTAAGCATAAAACTCTTGTCTTTTATACACTTATTTTCTGGTTCAACTGTATAAGCCACTAAATCTATTATTTTTAATTGAGGTATTTCTTTATAAATTTTCATTATAGATTTTAACTTATCTGAATTATCAATAAACTTAGAAAATTCAGAATCTCTAATGATCTCATTATACTTGTTAGTGATATTTAAATCATTATGAAGATTTAGATCTGATTTTATAAAAGGAAATTGAGAAAAATAATCATGAGGATGAAAGACTCTTTGAATAAACATTCTTTCAATATTATATAACATATTATATAACTCAGGTCTTTCAAAAATAGCAATTTTTTGATAGTCTCTCAAGATGTCAATAGCTTTACTTTGTATAAATTTTTTACTTTTTAAATTTTCATTAAAAGACGATCGAGTCAGAAAATCAATAATTGCACAGTAAGACTTTGTCTTCTCAATTACAGGCTCATTATAGGTAGTTTCTATATAATTAATAACTTTATCAATATCAATGTTAACATTATATTCAATTAAATCATCACTTCTGGATATTAATGATAATATTTGAACTACTCCTATAAAATTACTTTCAATATTATTTATACTTTTAAGGAAACTTTCTAAAGTACTAAAATAAACTTTTGATTGATTAACTAATCTTGTTTTTTCAAAAAACTTAATTATTAACCAAACACCAACACACAGTAGAAGTGAATAAAATAACAATAAGAGTTTTGAATATTCTAACAAGTACTTAGGAATGGCCATTAAAGTTTCTTTTTGAGATTGTTTACTAATCCATTCATGGTAAGTTTCTGGTTTACTAATAAATCCAAATGCTTTATTAAGTTCAATCATCTTCTCTTCTAAATCTTCAAATGCTGACTCTTCACCTTTCTTTTGAAGTTTCTTCTTTTGTTTTGATATTTGTCTTTTTAACTTCTTATAACTTTTCTTAACTAAACTTAAATCAGTGTTATCTTCAACACCCAAAACAGCATAAGGATTGTATCCACTTACTAAGCTCTTCATATTTATAGTGTAAATATTTCTTAATAATATAAAAATCACTCCTGTACATCCAACCAACAGAATAGAATATATATTTAATGTACTTTCTTGTTCACAGTGACAATTCTTAATCCTACATCTGTATCTACGTGATTTAATTATTGTTTTATAAAGCAAATACACAAATATAATTGATAGAAACGTTAATAAAAGATAAGATGTTGGTAATCCAGTATCATCGTATTGATGTTCATACATAATTTTTATGGGTTATAAAAATAACAATTTATTTAATTAAAAATAAATTTCTATCAATTATCAGATGAAAAATCAGTAAATCTTAATAACTTGTCTAAATTCATAAAGTAAAGTAGGTTTCTTTCTATTAAAGTTATAAAACTTACTAATTCATAACATTTTACAATAGTTACAACAAATATCTTAACCTTTCTACCAGTAACTTTATTATTATTAAAACATTCATTCTTCTAATTTCTAAATCTAATAAAAGTAAAACTATCTTTATATTATAAAATCTATTGGAGTAATAAAAAGAAAGTAATTTTTAATTTATGATTGATGGTTTATTAAGTCAAAGTATTGTATTTATACTCTTCTATACTTTTTCTTAGTTTGAATAAAATAACAACTAATGATTTCATTCAAATAATTATGATAGTTGTTTTTTTCTTTTGTTATAGTTAATCTTTTTCAATCAATTTATTAGCAGTTTTATAATCTTTAATTTTTTAATCAATAAACATTTTTTTATATTCTCTGAGTTCTTTTCGATATCAGAACTTTCTCTTTATTCTTATGGTCTTTTTATTTCTTAAGATAATTAACATTTTTTGTAACTTCAACTCTGTATATTAATGGTTTATTTAAACAATGTTATTTATGAAAATAAATATGGATTATCTTTGTTTGATAGTTTCAATTAAACACTTTATTTATTTCAAAACTAAACATTGTTTAAATAATCTGTAATTATCTTGGTTTACAAGTAAAAAATTTTAAACATTTAAACTGATTTTTAAAAATGTTTTAGTTTATTATTAATTTTAAAATTTAATAAACAGAAATATTTGATTAAATTGATAAAAAAAAGAGTGTTTAAAACAGTATTTCAAAGATTGTTACAATTTCAAATTGAACCCTTTATATTTATAATACAAACAGTTTTTGTTATTACCTTTTAATTAATTTAACTAACTAATAATCTTAAATATGTATTATTATTGACGTATCCTTGCGTGGTACGCGCCCTTTTGCCAGCTTTATGGTTTTTAAAATTATTTGGTTTCATAAATTTATTTATATTTTTCTTTATATATTTAATTTGAGTCATATTTGTTTCAAATATGTTTAAATGTCGATATGACATCCTCTCCTCGCAGGGCGAATTCTTTTAATATTTAATTGTTCTTTTTTAGACCCATTTTTACAATAACAAAATTGTTACTTACATTTATAATCTCAAATGGGCCTAGCCATACTACATCTAATTTACCTTGTGGATTGTTATTTCTAACACATATAAAATCACCAACTAAATAATCATGATGGGTTCTTAGATTGTAAATCCTCGCGTTATCTAATTGTTGTTGTGATTTGACTAGTTCATTAAGCTTCTCAATGTTAATGATTGCCTTTCTTTTAAGTGGATCTAACTCTGAGAACCCTTTTACTAATTCCGAAGGACTTACTTTCATTACCTGATGTGATGCATTTGTTAACACAAAGTTAATTTTATTTTCAATGTAAGTTAATTCTTCTCCTTGAAAACATCTAACAACAAAATTTATCGTTTGGTTAATTCGTTCTGCAATCGAATTACCAGTTGAATTATATGCTGAAGCATATTTAGGAATTATTTCATGCTTTACAAACATCCATTTAAAATAATCTGAAGTATAGTGTATTCCTCTATCCATAAGTATTGATATAGGATTCTTAAAATTTTTCATAAAGAAGTTATTGTTTTACTTACTGTAACCGCTTTAATATTAAAAATTACTTTAACTTGAGCATATCTACTACATCTATCAATTAGTGTTATAATCCAAAATTTTTACCGTTACTTTTTTTAAATGATGATCCATCATAAGGTCCAACAATATCACTAGACAAATGTTTCATCAACTCTTCAGGTCCAACATAACCCTGTAGTTTACCATATTTTAAATTGAAATATTTATATGATTGACATAATTCACAATTTCCTACCATTTCACAGGCTAATTTGTAAAAATTAGTAATTTGATTAAATTTAGAATATGAGTTTACCAATCTGCTTACTCCACTATGTCCAAGCTTAATATGTAATTCTAATACAACTTCCTCTGGTATTACAATTCTGTTATTAAAATCGACATAAATTATATTTCCGTCAATTTTTGTTGTTTTAAACTTAGTCTTTTTATTAAAATATTTTTGCCATTCAATAACCCTTAAAATTTGAAAACTAATATGATTGACTTCTGAAATTAAATATAATCTTGAGAAAAGATCTGGTTCATTATTTATACTTCCGGGAACATATTTAGTAATACAATCGTATTCTTCTACGAGTAATCTCTATTTTTGGATTCTTGGTCCTGATAAATTTTCAGCAAAAGTTAAGTTTCTTGAATTTGTTAAAACAACTATTCTAGACAAAAAAATAATGTTTCTAAATTGTTGTAATCCTTTTAGTATAGCTAGAAATTCTTTTTCAACTATCTAATAATTAAGTTCTGTGTGTGTAAGTTTTTTTTGGAAAAAATACCAATTAACTTACTACCTTGAGTTAAAATTACACTTATAGCCATATTTGAGGCATCAGTTCTCAATTCAAATACATTATTCGTGTCTGGATAAGATAAAAAGGTTTGTTTTCTATTTCTTCAAATACTTTCATTACATTACTACAATCTTCATTATTCCATTTAAATCTATCCTTTAAAGTCAATTTATCTGTTACCTTTGACAATTTATCACTAAAACTTATTACAAAAAGTTTAAAGCAGTTAAAAGTTGTTGAAATTGACGTTTGGTTCTTGGATTTACTTTTGCTTTTATTCTATCAACCCTTTTGGTATCAGTTTTGATTCCATCACCATTTATAATATGACCTAAATAAGTCACTTCTGATTTACAAAAGTTGCTTTTTTCAAAATTAACAGATACATTATTTATCTTAAAGACTTCTAATAACCTTTCGAGTATATTTTCATGCTTTTCCAAAGTTTCTGTGAATATTAAAATATCATCTAAAAATACTTTCACATTATCAAATTTTGACAGCATATCTTTCATGACACGTTGAAAAATTTTAGGAGCATTTGTTAATCCAAATGGAACTCTATTATATTCATAATGACCACCTGTTATAACAAAAGCAGTTTTTCCTTTGTCGCTTTCTTTAATAGGTATTTGGTGATATCCCATATTTAAATCTAACTGAGAAAATACTTTACATTCAGATAAACTTCTTAATTCTTGGAATAAATCTGGAAATGGAAATGCACACTTTATAGTTTTAGCATTTAACCTTCTATAATCAACAACTAACCTTGTTTTTCCATTCTTTTTAAGTATTGGAAATGCAGGACTCGCATACTTAGAAGTGCTTTTTCTAATAATGTCAAGTTTTAACAACCTGTCTATTTCTTGTTTTATACTATTCAAAGACTGATAAGGGAAAGAATAAGGTTTAAGATTTATTGGTTGATCATCTTCAAGTTCTATGCTCATTTCAACATTTGTAATTAACCCAAGTTCAGGTGTGGTTGTTTTGTAGTTATTAATTAATTTTTCTATTCTCTCTGACATAACGTTGAGGTGATCTATTTTTTCAAGAAGTTGTCCTGGTGGAGATAATTTCCATAAATTATTAGTATCAAGTTTGATTTCTACACCTGCTATCTTTACAATGTTATTGGTAAGGTTCATTTCAAAATTATTTTCCCTTAAAAATTTTGTTACTAAAATTAATTCTTGTGATAATTCAGGCATTATATAAACAATAATAGGTAGTTTAATATTATCCAATTTACTTAACGTTGCCTCAATTTTAACCCATTTTGATACCTTAACATGAACATTATTTGCAAGTATAATATTATGATCACATGCCATTTTTTCACAATTTAATTAGAAATAATGTTTAATGAGATGTAATTACTACCAGTTCCTGCGCAATAACGTTCATAGTTTAAAATCATTGACTTCTAGGTTAATAAGTAACTCATTATTGTTTTGATCTTAAGGTTCTTGAATATATTGATTTTTATCATTCCAAGACGATTTTTTCTGGTTTAAACTATTATTAATTTGTTTATAACATGTTGAATTATCATGAGTACTTACTCTATGCATATCAAAGCATTACTTTCTTGATTGTTCAAATGTTTTTAATTTTTTAGGTGTAAAGTCATAGTCAACATTTTCAAGAGTCTCTAAAAGATTAAGCGCATCTTTAATATTGTCACATTTACCTCTAAATATATCTCTTTGATCATGCCTATTTAAACCATTTTAAAAATATTGTATTAATGAATTTTCTCCTATTTAATCGTTTAGTGACAAATAGGCATTGATCTTATCTTTTAACATACACAATTCCTTAAAATATTTTTGGTAACTTACATAATTATGCCTTTTAATATTGTAAATTTGATACTGATACCTTTTTAAATTTCTTATTGAAAATGCAATTCTTTTTAATTCATTTAAAACATCTTCAACTGTTTCAAAACTATCTGAGAGATCAAGTTAAAGGTTATCTCCAATAAGAAGTCTAAAAGCCTCTAATGACTTTGATTCTGACCATTTACAGCTTCTTTTAGCTTCTTTAAATTGTTTAACCCATAATATTACGTTCGTTTTATTTCCCAAATTTGTTAATTTTTTCATAGTAATTTGAGGTCCTTCTTCTCCATCTTCAAAAACAGTTCTGAACATAATTGTCTGTGGTTGCATAATTTCACCATTATGTCTTTCACTTAAATTTAAGTTGATGTATTTTTTCGTGGTACGCGCCTTTTTGCCAGCTTTATGGTTTTTAAAATTATTTCGTTTCATAAATTTATTTATATTTTTCTTTATACAGTGGTGTTCAAAAAAAATCGACCACTAATTTTTTTTAACATAAGTTTAAAACTAAGTATGAAAAAGCCAATTTTTTGATTGAGAGGTATAATTGAAATTAAAAATTGACCTTAAGTTTAATAAAGAAAATTTTTAATAAAATTTTAATTTTATACCTAATTCAATAAAAAATAAAAACAGTGTTCAAAAAAATTCGGCCACATTTTATTTAATAAGTAGTGTTTTTACCTTTTGCTTGATAAACAGCTAAAACTCTTTTATGAAAACTTAAAATGTATGGTCTGACCATTTCAGGTGTAATAGAATTCCATATTCTT